CGAACTGCTGGGCTCAGGCGATCCTTTCACCTCAGCCTTCCAAGTAGCTGGGACTACAGGCGTGAGCCACCACGTCTGGCTAACTTTTCGATTTATTGTAGAGACGAAGCCTCACCAAGTTGCCCAGGCTGGTCTCGAACCCACGGGCTCTGGCAATCCTCTCACCTCGGCATACCAAAGTGCTGTTATTATAGACATAAGCCACCACGCCCAGGCTAGAAAATTTATTTTTTCATAGTTAGATCTTCTCCTTTGCTATTTGAAAATAAATGGAGAAGCAGAAATGACATCACATAGTGACTTTGTTCACAATACTTCTGATGTACAATAATTATTTTCAGAAAGTAAAAATGCTAGATAAAGTAATCAAGAAAAACACCAACTTCATAAATGAGCATTATAATTAAAATTTTAAAGTAATAAAAATTAGTCTTTGGTTGATTGCTAAAGTGGCATGAATGTAGCCACAACTATGGTGGGATGCTCTTGATTGGATTTTTAAATGAAGCGTCCTCGAAATAGTTAATAGCTTTCAGTTTCTCCATCCTCAAGAAAGGGACAAAAAGGTAACTGATAAAGAAGCTGTTTTGTTTTCTTGCTAGTGAAATATTAGTATTCAACAGTGGTACTATACTAAATTCTGGGGCTGCTACTGAAATGTCATTACATTCCAACTTTATATATCTGGCATGCTGCCATAATGCAGTTCAGTGTGTTGAAGTGTAGATTACAATCCAACAAATCAATGCTCCTGAATTGTGGGTTTATGTAAACCTGCAATTAAAAACAGTGTGCAATCACGTTCTCTGCTTACCTGATGAATGGAAAAGCAAGCTGTGTTGTCCAGGACAGAGGTGACAATGCCAGTTTAAAATAGAAGCGTTCTCTGGCATATCCTTTGAGACAGTGGTATTTTTTTTTTTTTTTTGAGACTACGGTTTTTGATAAGGGCATCTTCTCTGTACACCTCCCAGCCTGATGAACTGCCCCATTCAGGGAAGTTCCTTCATTTTCATTGATCAACTTGGGAATTTCTTCAGAGAACCTAGTTTCATGTGGTAGTGTTTCCTTAAAAATCTGTGAGCATTTGTAATGGGGGGAAAACAAACTGAATTGTCAAGAAAGGAGATCGTGATACAGGTCAGGAAGGATTGAACGGTGTGTAGGGTATGCTTATTTAATTTTGAACATTTACTATTTTATTACTTATTCATTTTTAGAGACAGGGTCTTGCTCTACTGCCCAGGCTGGAGTGCAGTGGCATGATCATAGCTCACTGCAGCCTTGACCTTCTGCACTCGAGAGATCCTCCTGCTTCAGCCTCCTGAGGAGCTTGGACTACAGGCGTGCGCCACTGCACCCCGCTGATTTTTAAATTTTTGTAGAGATAGGGTCTTGCTATGTAGCCCAGGATGGTCTTGAACTCTTAACTTCAAGGGATCCTCCTGCCTTGGCCTCCCAAAGTGCTAGAATTAGAGGTATGTGCCACTATGCCCGCCTCGGGGTGTACTTATTTTAAAACGATGGCAAGAACACCCACAAGGCTCCTGATGGAAAGGCAGGCACTTTCTCCCAACCCTGCAGAAGAAGAACTCAGTGAAGTGCTTCAAGAAGCACAGTCACATGTAGCAGTTAAAAGTGTCAGGACAGTGAAGAACTGAAGTTTGTTTGGTGTCTGTCTTACAGAGACTGAAGTACAAGGCGGAGTTTCCAAAGCTACAGATACTATCCTGTTGCTAGTGGCAAAGATCTGACAGATTCCTATTAGAAGAGGATTCAGGACACAATTATGTCCACCGGGCAAAACAGTGTCAGCAGCAGCAGCTTCAAATTCAAAGGAAAGATTTATGCACAGATACAATTAAATATACCATTTTATTGTTTATAGCAGGTAGCTATGGCTGTCAGCCAGCTATTGAAAACAATTCAGAAAGAACACTTTCCTGAATTGGTCTTTTGATCATTTAGGCCAAAGTGAGGCAAAACAGAGCATTCTTTTCTAGGAAATCTCCTTAAAAAATCGTAACAGAAAAATCTTTGTATAGAACTGTTTTGGCTTCCCCTCTTATTGTGGGGGGTAGGATGGGTTCTGGACACAAAAGGTTTGTCTTTCTTTTCTCAGTGACACAGTCACTTCTACTTTGTTGTTGTTGCATTGTTTTCTAAGTCAGCTGTTCCAAGAATCTTCTGATATAGAGTTGTAAACTAGCCCTGCAGTCGGGGAACCGAGTGTTAACATGATTAGAAATATGGAAGATGCTGACTGAATTATGAAAATAACTCTGGAATCTGAACAGAATTTTATCCTTTTTAAATAATTTCATCTTGCTCAAAGATTTGATAAATGACTTAAAAGGAACACTACTCAAGATTTAGAACTTACTTGTAATCTAACTTACATTCCAAATACAGAATAATCAAATTTCAGTATCTTTGGCCATCCTGACAGAGACTACATTTGGCTAAGTGTTTTTAGTTGAGGCTGGGAGACTAAGGTAGTGGACAGGTGGTTCAGGAGGAAGACAGTTCTTATTCCAGCTCTTCAGCTGCTGCCAGATTCATCAAGGCAAATTTTGCGTTGACAGTTTTTCTGCAAACATACATCATGTTAGATCTTCCTCAATTCCTTTTACTTCAGGAATAGAGTTATGTCTTTTTCTTTCTTTTCTAGCTTTGCAATAACTATCTGATGGCTGCATAAAAAATTACCTTAAATTTGGCACTTAAACATTATCTTGGTTTGAGTAACCTCGGTGTGGCTCAAGGTCTCTCACAAGCCTGCAATCAAGGTGTCAACTGCAGCCATCTCCAAGTTCCACTGGGTAGGATCCCCTTTCAAAGCCACATATTGTTGACAGGATTCAGTTCTTTGCAGGCCATTGGAATGAACCTTCATTCTGTGTTAGCTGCTGGCTGGAAATCTCCGCTTTCCAAAGAGCATCTCACTATCAGAGCAGGAAAACATTTTAGTGTGGGCAAGGCAGGCAGAAGTCAGTCTGTCTCCTAACCTCAGGATGATCTGTCACTTTTTTTTTTTTTTTTTTGAGTTGGAGTCTCACTCTGTCGCCCAGACCGGAGTGCTGTGGCCCGGAGCCTCGACCTGCTGGGCTCCGGCGATTCTTCCGCCTCAGCCTTCCAAGTAGCTGGAACTACAGGCGTGCGCTACCACGTCCGGCTAATTTTTTGATTTATTGTAGAGATGAGGTCTCGCCAAGTTGCCCAGGCGGGTGTCGAATCTGCGGGCTCAGGCAATCCACTCACCTCAGTCTTCCAAAGCGCGGGATTACAGGCTGAGCCACCGAGCCGGCTTAAGTTTTTGATTTATTGTAGAGATGAGGGCTCACCAAGTTGCCCGGGCGGGTCTCAAACCCGCGGGCTCAGGCAATCCACTCACCTCAGCCTCCCAAAGCGCGGGATTACAGGCTGAGCCACCGAGCCCGGCTGATCTGTCACTTTTGCCATATTCTATTCATCAGAAACAGGTCACTAGGTCCAGCTCACACTCAAGGACAGGGGATCATACACGAGTGTGCACATCAGCAGAAAGGGATCACTGGGAACCATCTTAGAAACTATCACTAGCTTTACTTGTCTTTTTACATTAAATGCTAACGACTAAAGGAGGACTGTCTTACACTATGAATTTGAAAAGTGCAGGCTACAAATTTGTGCCAGTTGCAAGTTCAGTATCTGTTTCTTGTGCTCATTTTCAGAGCTAAATTGTCTTAAGAGGCAATTAACAGATTGATAAAAGCAACTCAGGGGTACAAAAAAAAAAAAACCTCTTCTACTATTCACATGACTATTTTTTGATTGAAATCTGTGAATATTTCTCCAAAATACCACGTAGTACAATAAGACAATGTTATCAATGGAAAAATAAAACAAGATTTGAAAAGAATGGCTGAATACCTAGATTTCTGATGAAAATTCCTTCTTACAATCAGCAGCTACTAAAAATGTTTCAATAAAATACGTACCCGTTCAGAGGCCTAATGACATCAGATGTTGTGGAGTATGATAAAACTTGGAAGGGAAGCGAACTTTTAAATAAGACCTGTTTCTTGATCCTAAATAACACAAAGTAAAACTGCTCTCCAACTGTAGAGGCAGGCAGTGGTAACTGTCTTTTTCTTTCTTCTTCTTTTGTGCTTTGTTCTATGACTGAAGACCGTAAATTCAGGGGAGGTTTGCCCTTCTTTGTTTTCTCCTCGAGTTCACATTTCTTGAGGTTTACGTATCCACTACTAAGTTGTGCCTGTAACAGACACATTCTGCATCTCCAAAGGCTAGCCTGGCTTTGACAGCTCACGTGTCCCAGTCCCCACTGCCTCCTCAGTGGTTGATGCAGCAGATGGGATCCCGCAGCAAGCTGAGACAAATGCATGTTTCTTCAAGTTCATCTTTACTTAAAGGTTAATTTTATTTTATTTTATATTTTTTAAAGGTTAATTTTAAAATATAAGATGGTTCAAGTACAATATAACCCCAAATTGCTTTATTTGTGGTAGCTACTGTTATAATTTTGGAAGCTAGTGGATAGAAATTACCAACTTTGTCATGGAAAGAAATACAGATTCTGCTGCCACTAGTGGTCTACATTCTCTGTGACTTCTACAGAAATTGAGGCAAGCCAGGAGATCACAAGTTTTTTTCAAGGGTCAGAAGTTTTTTCTGTAAAGTGCCAGATCCAGGATTAAGCATATGAGAATTCTCATATGATCTGAAAGTTCATCTACTACTTTTTGAAAAATTTAGACAGTACATACTGAACACAAATCCTGTCATCAGCTTCTTGGAATTTTGCAGTCCTTAAATCAGTTGCAGAATTATATGAAAAAGTTAATAAAGAAAAGCAAATTCATAATTTTGAATTGTTATTAGTAGGGGTATATAACACATAGATAACTGATTTTTGAAGGAAGTTGAAAAAGATATCTGAGGTCAAGTTGTCATTTATAGTGGCTCAGAATTAAAATCATTCTCCAAAACTCAAGAGATATAGCACACAAATGTTTAATTTCTAGAGTATACATTGTTTCCTTAGATCTAAAAAAGGATCACAATAGCAAAAACACTGAAGCTCTGTCTAGTACCAAGCCTATATACATTAACAAACATTGTTTATTAAGAATTCACAGTAATTGTCTTGTAGACTTTGCAGGTGCCAAGGAATCATGGCAAGGAAATTGTATAACACAGTGTTACATATATAAAGGAAAAAAAAGGTAAAATATAATGCTTTGAAAAAATGATTATAGAATAAGTTACATTTTAATTCAGAATGATTGACAAGCTAACAGCCATTTAGAACTTCTCGACTTTTAAAACTTAAGAGTTGGCAAAAGCAGGGAGTTAGCAAAAACAAGGAAAGAGCATTAAATCTGAAGTTCTGAGACATGGTACTCACTTCACATAGGTGAGCTTTAGTCATCTCATTAATGATGCTGGACCAGATAATCGTTCTTGGATCTTTAAAAACAACAAAAAACTCACTTTTTTTTCTGAGTCTAATCAGTGTGAGTCAAAGCATATTATTTTCAGTACTTGCAATAAAGTAACATGAACAATATAACAGACACCATTTTGCAATAAAAGCATAATCTCCTTTGATTGAAAATTATTCCTGGAATCACAACCAGGCTTTTCCCATTCTGTCTCATCAGTTTACACACCCCTGAAACAAGGAAGCATCCTTCTCATCAGACAATAGCAGAACTATAAAAATGTTCTGAGGCAGACATTTAGGAGGTTCTTTTAATGCCTAAAAATTATATGAAACATGACAAAAACACTGACGTAAGAGCTGCTAATGGAGACTTTTAAATCTCTTTTGTGACGTGAAATGTGAAAATCTTTTGCTTTTTGCTAAACCTTTAGCTTGAGTATTTCTCTCCCACACAAAAGGAATAGCACACTTTATTTCTATAAACTCTAGATGTTGGCATTAGTTGGTTTCCTGCAATTAATTTGTGGGCACTTGGGGGGGTTGCTATCTAGTGTTGAATTGGGGTTGGAAGATAATGACAATATTATCGAGTTGGACTTAATGCTGTCTCTGAATTGAAGACATTTACCCCCTCCAGACTTGCATTTCCTGCTAGAAGATGTGTTTAACACTGGGGTACTCTGTAGGGTACTCTAACACAGTATTAACTGTGTAATAACGTACACAAGATGGCTAAATTTCATGTCTTCTGTCACTAAAATTTATGGCTTTCACTTTAGTAAACAATTTGTAACGTTTTCCCACTAATCTCAAAGATTAAAGACTGTATATACAGCAATTAGCATTATTCTGTTAATAATGCCTAAAATTTACTAGTTCCAAGTAGAGACAAAATGTTTGACTAAGGAACAAATGAGATATAATACCCATGTACAGTTTAATAATGGCGTATAACATATGGCCGTCTTAGGTTGGCTTGGCTATTGATCACTTCGTTCTTTTTCTGAAAATAGAACTAAATAGAAAATATTGGCTAGAAAACAATATTCCCAGACTACACTAAGTTGTCCCTTCACTGGATTAAGATTTACCATTATGACCTCTCTGCATTTTGTAGCATTTTTAAATTAAGAAACGTTGTTTCTATAAAGACTTTCATGCTTTATTTCAAGAGAAAACTAGCCTTTGCAGATAAATGTTATCCACTGTGAAAAGCAAAAACTGTTGCTTTTGTTTTAGCAGCCAGAAAGTTTAGAAACAAATTTATTGTCCAAGTTTTACTTGTAAAGTTGAATTGCATGAAACTGTGTATGTCTGTGCGGTTTTACTCTTATATGTCTTCTCTAAATGCTCTGTATTTTGTAGGCCTCTTTAAGAACTTTTAGAAGAAAACAGAAAACAAATTTCAAAAATAAAAATATAGCTATAAGTGACTACAGATTATATATAGTTCAGAATACTGGATTATTTCCTACTAAAAGATGGTTTTAACAACTATATTTATAATGGATATAATTTCACATAGAATATATACTAATTTCCTTTTTATCATCATGAAGAATGAGATCATAGTTACTGTTAGATATTTATTATGCTGTTCAAAAGCTGTCTGGCATAAGCTACCTACTAAAATGCTACTGAAAGAATTTAACTGTCTCTGGTATTAGTCCATGGAATATGAAATTCTCTAAGTCTTTTTACCTAAGTTGTATTTTTAAAACAAGAAATTATGCTGACTTAAAAAAATTAAATCATGAATATACTATGTGTAGGCTTTCCTACCTCCTGAACATTATTCACTTTTTAAAAAATAATCTGATGTAAGAAATATTTTGAGGCAGTATTAAATGTGTATCATATTTAAAGTCACAATTTTCACTAATTTGAGAGAATATATCTAGGTAATATTTAAAAGTTAATGAAATCCAATGAAACTTCAACTTATTTCTTTGAGAATTTACTACAAAAATATAGAAAACGAGAATTTACCTTTTAAATGGCATGTTTGTATTCATTACAATTTGATAAATGAATTCCTTTCTACACATATCTTAAAAGGTCCAAAATCTCAGTGCTATAAATAACAAGATTGAAGGATCATGTACAATGTATATTTTAATATAGGATCTGTGAGTAATTTAGAGCAATAAATATCACACAGTGAAAAATTTATCACAAACTAAATACAGTAACAAAAGAAAAAGCTTATGCACACATCACCAAGGTCTTTACAGTAAGTTATAGTGCACAGTTCCACCATAGCATATCTGTAGACAAAGCTGCTAATGTGAACACTGAAAGAAATCTGTCATGTAGGTCTTTAATTTTGATTTAATAAAGTTTGTACAGTATGAAATAATATAAAAAGTCTAAAAAAACAATGACTTTTTATACTATGTTTATAAATTACTGTTTTGTATGCCATAAAAAAAATAAGGTCAAAAGTGCAGTTTTAAAAAAAGTGAAAGTTGTTATTTTTAATAATAGCTAGAAAAATGTACTGTCCCAAGTAAGAAGCAATCTAAAGGCTTATACAGTTTATTGGGTATTTCTCTTTAACTTTCATACAACCTTGGCTACCATATGCCATTAAAATAAACCGATACAAAGGGAGCTAAGTAATCTTTTTACACAAATAATAGGAAATAATCTAGTGATGAGAAACACTGCAAATAAACATAACCACAGGCCTCTTCCAAAGTGAACTAAATGACTCTTTACTAATATGAATGGGCTGTCATTGAATGTGAACAAACCTGGGAAATTTCAAAAGCTTGCTAGAAATTATTATCTTTCTCAAAATTTTAGTCTTAACTGGCAATGATGCATATATCCCAGGATTATGAAATTTTCGAGTATAAAGTAACAAAGATAAAATGATTTAAAGGTGATAAATCACACCATTTACCACTTTTCACAGAAAATAAGGACTAAAGATACTATAATGAAAGGCAGAAGTATAGAAATTAGTCAAGAAAAAATGGATGAAGCATAACTGGGTCTTAATTGGCACGGTAACTAACTATATTTTGGCAAATTCAAGAACAAATGCCTACATTGAAATATGTGGTTCATTAATCATTTATATTTATGTATGAAATGGAAGTGGTGAGACGATAGGCTTATAAAACAAATTAAATTTACAGAAAAGAAAAATAAAAGGAATGAAAAGTCTTATTTTTAAGTTTATTGTGGGATTAAAATATTGACAGAACTCTATCAGTCAAGAGCAGTATTCCTGTTGCTAAACTATCAGGCTGTCCAAGCCAGCTGCACACCACCAACTCTCTTCAAACGCTATTGAACTGGTAGTGTTTTCTTTACACAACACCAAGCAATAGATGATCATTGTTGTTCCACTGAATATTGTTAAGTTCCTTGATTGGTTGAATACATAGACTGCCTGAGATAATAAAAACATCACCATTATAATAGGTTAATGGTAAATAAAGGTCTTCCTAGTTTTGACAGGAGGAAAGTGTTGGCTGCTGAAAAAAGCAGGCTGCATACATACACACTTAATACTGAGTGTCACCTTTAAGAGATTAAAAGTCGATGGATATGGATGCTTGTGCAGAATCGTCTCGCCCTCTGACATAAATTTCACAGGGAATCTCCTCCATTACTCTGTCCTCTAGGGCCTGTTCAGGGCACTCATGTGCCTGTTTGAAAGTATAGCTACTTTTCTTGAAGGTGCTATTAAATGTTTTCATTGGCTGTGGTTGTGCAAAATCATTTCGGAAAGGAAGTTCCATGGAACTGAGGTTGGTCCTGCTCTGCTTGACACTGGATGCCTGCGATCCACAGTGGTGGTCATGAACACACCGGGAGGCGGTGGGGGAGCGCCGCATCTTCTGGTAGTTGTCCAATTCTTCTGACAAGTCTGCCAGGTCTGCTGAAATCTCTTTGTCCCTTAGTGAAAACAGTTCATAATGAGGAGGATCAAACACTTCTTGGAACCCAGTTTTATTAAAAGCAGTTTTGCAAGCCATGACCTTTTTCCGTGGCTGCTTCACTTGTACTAAAATAGAAATAATGAGAAGGACCAAGACAATCCCTGATGTAATGCCAATAATTGTCCCATGAGTTTTAGTGATTTGTTCAAATAGTCCTGCTTTTTTCTTTTCTGTAGAAAGAGAAAGATAAATATTAAGGTTTTAAAAATTCATTAATTTAAGTCCTGGCACAAATTGGTAAGATATTTTTAGGTAAAACAGAACACATGGGTCAAATATACCACATACAATAAAATTTACAATTAGGCTTTTAAACAAACGAAACAATCCTATTATAATTTCTGGTTAAGTTACCAGTCACAATATAGCTAGATAGATATAGAAAAGATCAAGTTCCTGGTTCCTTTACTCAGAAGACATATGAACACACATAATTTGTAGATCAAATTAAATACATAAATATAGCAAATACCAAAATAAATACTCTTGCTATATCAAGTTTAGCTTTCTGCTTTTTTTTTTTTTTTTTTTGAGTTGGGGTCTCACTCTGTTGCCCAGACTGGAATGCAGTGGCACGCTCCCGGCCACCACAGTCTCAACCTGCTGGGCTCTGGCGATCCTTCCGCCTCAGCCTTCCAAATAGCTGGAACTACAGGCGTGCGCTACCATGCCCGGCTAATTTTTTGGTTTATTGTACCAAGTTGCCCAGGTGGTTCTCGAACCCGCGGGCTCAGGCAATCCACTCATCTCAGCCTCCCAAAGCATGGGATTACAGGCTGAGCCACCGAGCCCAGCTGCTTTCTGATTTCCAGTAGGTTTGATCAATTGTTGTTTTTAAGTATATCTACAATATTTCTACTGATGGTCACCAGAAAGAGAGAACTAACATGATCCGACTAACCCACCCAGGTATTCTATCATGATCTACTGTTTTTGAATGATTCCCTGAAAATACTTCATATCAAGTATTTAAGAGTCGTATCAGATTGCATCACCTTTTCACAGTAAAATACTTATTGAACTCTTGGAGGATAATAAGTAGATAAACTTTAGTTCTGAGACAGTGATCTGACAACCAGCCTGTAGACATTCAACTATTACCACAAGCTATATTTGTCTTTCAGAGTATTGGCACATTTTATGAAATAAAAATAGAGTAGTTCTTAGAATGGGTCTGCTTTTGTGTTGTAGGACTGAATCCATCAGCTGACTTTTATTAAATAATGCTTCCATCTAATTTTAAAAAGAACAATACTCCAGACTAACCTCTAAATTACAGCTCAATACAGTAACTCCACAAAACAGATGACACACTTCAGCAAGTTAAAAAAAAAAAAAGGGCAGGAAAAATCACAATGCACCTTTGAAAAACTTAAGATAGTTTCTTGACAAAAATGCTTTTATTGAGTACTATTTTTCTTTGCTTTTACCACATGGTCCATTTACCTAACAGAACATTTATCTGTTTTCATTTCTGCCAAAACATCTATGCTAAGCATAACTGCAGAAAAGGACATTTTAGTCTTTTGTAATGAAAGGCACTAGTCACTTTTTCCTAAAAAATGTTGGCCCTTACATGGGACTCACCTTTACAGTGATTTTCATCCCAGGGGAATGCACAATTTTGAACACCGTTACAGACTAAAGAATTATTGATGCACATGTTGCTATGGCAAAAGAAAGTGCTGCCTGTGCAGGGAGCTGTAGAAAAAGAGAAAAGAGTGTTGCCAAGAGCAGACATTCAGATTATGAACCCATATTTAGTTATCTTATACATAAGAATCTGCCTTTAGAAGGGTAATTTCTTTTTATTTTTTTAAGCATATTTTTTATTATTAAATTGTGGGGTACAGTTAAGGGTTAGGTATACAAATATGCATCGTTCAGGCACCCTTGTTGATAAGGGTTGTCTCCCCGTCCCCAGATATTGACTACCGTTAATCCCAACTTTCTTCCCCTCTCTACCCCTCCATAGTTTCCCACCACTGTCAATCCTTTTCTTATAGTGTTATGACAGATGTTCAAGGTTCACTATTATGAGTGAGAACATGTGATACTCAGATCTTTGTTTCTGTGAGAGATCACTCAGTATTATAGACTCTAGTACCATCCAGGTTGCTGCGAAATTCATGATTTTGTTCTTTTTTATGGCTGGATAGTATTCCATCGTGCATATGTACCACATTTTTTCAATCCAGTTAGAAGGGTAATCTCTCATCTCAAAGGCCTTTCTATGAATACACACTCTGGAGTATACAAACAATGAATGTTAATATTCCCTGATGCTGACTCAAAATTTTTTCATGCAAGGCACCAAGAAGTCATTTTTAATGTAATGACAATCTGAATATATTTCCTGTTTTGGGGTGTTTTTTTTTTGAGTTGGAGTCTCATTCTATCTCCCAGGTAGGAGTGCACATGGCTGCCATAGCCTCGATCTGCTGGGCTCAGGCAATCCTTCCGCCCCAGCCTTCCATGTAGCTGGAACTACAGGCGAGCGCCACTATACCCAGCTAATTTTTTGATTTATTGTAGAGATGAGGTCTTGCTAAGTTGCCCAGGCTGGTCTTGAATCCCTGGGCTCAGGCAGTCCTCTCGCCTTGACCTCCCAAAGTGCGGGGATTACAGGTATGAGCCGCTGTGCCTAGCTACACTTCTTGTTTCTTATGAAACTAATATACAGTCTGCTAAATGTTTTCAAAATTTTAAAAGACAATGTTGGCAAGGATGTGGAGACACTGGAATCCTTGTGCATTGCTGGCAGGAATGCAAATGGTGCAGCCATTGTGGAAAACTATCTAGTGGCTCCTCAAAACTGTAAACACAGAGTTACCTTACACAGCAATTCTACTGTAAGGTATAAACCCAAAAGAACTGAAAGCAGGAAAGCAAACAGATACTTGTACACCTATGTTCATAGCAGCATTAAGTACAGTAACCAAAAGGTTCACCATAATGGTTCACCAATGGATGAATGGATAACAAAATGTGGTATCTGTACAATGAAATATTATTGTTATAAAATTAGTTTTGAGAGACACAGCACAGATAAAGCTTGAAAGCATGCTAGACTGGGTGCAGCGGCTCGTCTCAACAATAAATCAAAAAATTATCTGGGCTTGGTGGAATGTGCCTATAGTCACAGCTACTTGGAAGTTGAGGTGTAAGGACTGCTTGAGCTCAGCATATTGAGGCAGTGGTGGCCATGAGTGTGCCATTGCACTCTAGCCTGGGTGACAAAAACAAAACCAAAAAAATTATGCTAAGTGAAATATTTGACTTATTTCACTTAGTGTAATTACTGCATGATTATATATTATTTAGCATGAGAAATATTATATGCTTCTACTTATATACAGTACCTAAAAGAGGGAAATTCAGAGACAGAAAGTAGAATAGAGGTTACCAGGGGGTGGAAGGGGGAGTGAGGAGTTAGTGTGTAATGGGCACAGAGTTTTATTCTGGGATGATGAAAAAGTTCTGTAGATGGATGGTGATGATAGTTGCACAAAAGTGTTAATGTACCCAGTGCCACTGAATTGTACACTTAAAATGATTAAAATGGTAAATTCTATGTTATATACATTTTACCATAATAAAAAGGGAAAAAATCCACTCTTCTGAATTAAAAAAAATTTTTTAAAGGTAATAAAGTTATTTAGAATATATACCCTGTAATTTCGTATTTTGTGTAAGTTGTTCTTTCAGCATGGAGTGTTTCCTCCTTTTCCTCTGTGGTGGCCACCTATTCATCATTTAATATCATCTCAAATGTTATTCTCTCTGTAAAAATTCCCTTACTCCTCCTGAGTAGCTAGCAACTCCTGCGTTTGTTGAGTTATACTACAGATAGTGGTTTTCGCCACTTCCTGGCTCATAACTCCTGTAGACCTTGTGTTTTGTTACAATATTGAGTGTGTCAAGCCCCAGAAACAATCTCTCAGACCTTTTCCTGACCTTTCACCTGCCCCAAGGTAGGACTCTGACCTCCAGCCCTCTGTTGTGGGTCTTAAGACCCTCGGGGACCTGCCCTGTATACTGGGGGGAAGGAATGCTGGCATCATAAAGCTTTCATAAAAACCCAAGAGGAGTGGGTTCAGAGAGCTTCCAGATAGCTGAACCTGTGAAGGTTCCTGGAGGGATAGTGCGCACAGGGGATCTGCTTCCCTTCCCCCATACCTTGCTCTACACGTCTTTTTACCTGTATCCTTTGTAATATCCTTTATAATAAAGTCTTTCCCTGAGTTCTGTGAGTTGCTCTAGCAAATTAATCAAACCCAAAGAGGGGGGTGGACATGGGAATCCCACTTGAAACCATTTGGTCAGAAGTTCCAGAGGCTGGGATTTGCAACTGGTATCTGGGTTGGGGGCAGTCTTGGAGACTGAGTCAACTTGTGGGACCCGGCACTATCTCCAGGTAAATAGTGTCAGAACTGAATTGAAGAACACACAGCTGGTGTTCGCTGCTTGCATTGTGGAAAGAAATCCCCACATTTGGTCACAGAAATCTTCTGTTTTGACGACTGCTGTGGTGTGAGAGCAGAGGGAAAACGGTGTGGGAGAGTGCCAAAGGAGTGTTCTTCTCATGCTCTTTGTACTCTTCTATGTGGCACTTCTCCTTGTATATGTAAACATTTGTTAAAATGGATTATTAGTCAATGTGCTTACTTCTGTTAGGAAATAAAGTTCTAAATTGGAGATAGAAGTCCAATAGAAGCCGGGCTCGGTGGCTCAGCCGGTAATCCTGCGCCTTTGGGAGGCTGAGGTGAGTGGATTGCCTGAGCCGGCGGGTTCGAGACCTGCCTGGGCAGCGAGATCTCATCTCTACAATAAATCAAAAAATCAGCCAGGCGTGGTAGCGCATGCCTGTAATTCCGGCTACTGGAAAGGCTGAGGCGGAAGGATCACTGAAGCAAAGCAGGTCGAGGCTGCGGTGGCCGGGAGCGGCCACTGTACTCCAGTCTCCAGTCTGGGCAACAGAGTGAGACTCCAACTCAAAAAAAAAAAAAAGAGGCAGCTTATTATTTCCCCTCCCATTATACAAGACTGTAGAGATACGAGAGAAGCCCACAAATCTCAGCTAACACTTTTGACTTGTAAATAATTGGACAAAATGCATTGCCTGCCTAAAAGAGTCTATGTTTTTGGTTTTCAGAAAATATGTGCTTCATCAAGGAAGAACTAAATATTGCTCTATATTGTACTCACATACTTGAAATATTTTTTTATATTTTCTTTTTAAAGTTACTTTTTAAGATACAATTAGTATCTAAAATTTTACTGGACTAATAAATAAGATTTTCCTAAATATTATCTTTCGCTTAATAAATCTCCTTATAAAAAAAACTATGAGTTTAGTATTTTTTCCCTTCAAAGAGAAGATTCTTTTCAGGGTGCAGTCATAGGGATATCTGACCACATTCTCCAACTGCAGTATATTGTCAGTACTAAAACTATTTTTGTATACATCTGCCTTACCCACTTTGTCTACTCAATTGTCTCTGAACATGGGTTGAAAAACAGATATTTATTGGGTCCCCAGATAACTCCAAAATATAATCTGATAAATGTAGGCCAATAGAGAATATCCAAAATTGCTTTGCTAGTAGAGTGCAAACATAATCTCTCTTTAAGCAGAATCCCCTATATTACTCACCCAAGTTCCAGTACAACAGGTCAATAATCTACAGTCACTATGAACTAGAATTTTTCTCCTCTACCTCTCCATTGTTTGTCAACTTACAGTTGAGGCATAACTTCTTCATCCAAAGAGAGTACCAAAAAATGTACATGCATTTTAAGAACGGAAAAATATATGCTGATAAGAAAGAATGAATACAAGTCACCTTTGACTTCTTCCATTACAACAGGTGCTCCGAGAGGCTACTACCGGCACCTAGACACTTCTGAAAAGTACTTCAAAAACAGGTAGCATCTCTTAAAATGTGTATACATTTTTTTGGCATACCTAGTATACACAATTAAATGTTTAAGTTTATTTGCTGAGTACTTAACTACAGTTCAAGTATATAACCCCTAGGTGGCTTTCATGACTGAAGAGTCTAAAATAGCTAAGAATTGTGAATAACTTGGAAAACAGTGCTGTGTAGCAGAGAGTAGAAAAAACAATGGGCTAGTAATCAATAAAAATTGTTTGGTATTTGTTCATCTGTATATTTTAAGATATTTAACCTCTTTTAAAATGAATGAGAGGCAGCATAGTGTATCTCAGACATTTGGTTCTAAAATTTGATGCAACTATGAAATTAGTGGTCTCAGTCATGTTGATATTTCTGTTCTTAGAATCTAAGTGCAAAAAGATGCATATAACTAATACATAATTTATTCAGAAACTGTGTGACAAAAGGGTATCATTAAAACTATTAAAATACGTATTTCATAATTCTTAGAAAACACTGATGATTTCAAAGCTCATCATAGAACAACAGGCATTAATTATGTAAACAAGTCACCAGATTGAGGGCAGGAAAGCCAATGAAGACATATGGTGGTGTTTTATTTACTTTACAAAATTAGCCAGTACACCTTCTTCGTTTGTGCCATAGATACCATAAAACTGTATTATACAAATAGGTGCATTTTAAAATATAAAAAATGGCCTAGAGAAATACATGGCATTTTATTTCCTCATTTCTACAAACTGGAGTTTTTATGTGTTTTTATTTATGTGCCATACCATA